GTACCCGCCCCCCTCCCCCTCCACCCGTCCCTCTCCCTCCTTTCGTCTCTCGGTCTCTCTCTCTGCCCCCGCCCGGCTCCCGGGGTCGTGTCAATCCCCCCTCCCCTCGTCCCTCTCCCCTTTCTCTCTCTCGTCCTCCTTCGCCGCCCCCCCCACTGTCCTCTCCTCGCCCCTTTCTCTTCTCTGCCGCCGCAGTCCCGTCACGTCGCTCTCTCCCCCGTCCATCTAAACCTGTCTCTCTCTCTCTCCTCTCTCCCCCGTCCCTCTACCCTGTCTCTCTTCCCCCCCCCCTGTCCATCTACCCTGTTTCTTCTTCTCCTCCCTCCCCCCCCCCCCCACCCGGTTCCATCCACCCTGTCTCTGGTCCCTGCCCCCCCCTCTCTCCACCCCCCCCCTGTCCCATCTCCCGTGTCTCGCTTCCCCCCCCCCCTTTCCATCTACCCTTAGTCTCTCTCACGCCCCCCGTCCATCTACCTGTCTCCCCCCTTCGCATGCTTGCTTTCCCTCTCCCCCCCTCCCCTTCGCACGACCCTTTCTCTCTCTCTCCTCTCTCCCCCCCTCCCCGATCCATCTACCTTTCCTTCTCCCCCTCTCCCCCCGTCCCTCTCCCCTTTCTCTCTCCCCCCCCCCTCGTCTCCTCTTCCTTTCTCTCTCTCCCCCCTTTCCGCCTTACTAACCCTGTCCTCTCCTCTCCTCTCTCCCCCCCGCCCCCCCGTCCCATCCTACCCTGTCTCTCTCTCCCCCCCATCCCCTGTCCAGCTACCCTGTCTCTCTTTTCCCCCCACCCCGTCCATCTACCCTGTCTCTCTCCCCCCCTTCCATGCTACCCCCTGTCTCTTTCCCCCCGTCCACTTCCCTCTCCCCCCTCCCCCGTCCCATCGACCCTGTCTCTCTCCCCCTCCCCCCCCGTCCATCGACCCTTTCTCTCTCCCCGGTCCATCTACCCTGTCTCTCGCCCCCCCAACCCTTCCATCTTACTACCTGTCCTCTTCTCCCCCCACCCCTTCCATCTAACCCTGTCTCTCTCTAGCTCCTCTCTTCTCCGCCCCGGTCCATCTTCCCTGTCGCTCTCTCCCCCCCGTCCATCGAACCATGTCTCTCTTCTCCCCCTCCCCCCCTTCCATCGACCCTGTCTCTCTCCCCCCTCCCCCGTCCATCGACCCTGTCTCTCTCTCCCTCCCACCCTGTTTCCATCGACCCTGTCCTCTCTCCTCTCCCCCCCACCCTGTCCATTTAACCCGGTCTCTTCTCGCCCCCCACCTGTCCATCTCCCTGTCCTCCCTCCCCGTCCATCTAACCCTCTCTCCCTCCCCCTGTCCATCTACCCTGTCTCTCTCCCCCCCACCCTGTCCTTCTACCTGTCTCTCTCGTCCTCCCCCCCCCCCTGTCCATCTACCCTGTCTCTCTCTCCTCTCTCGTCCCCTCCCCCTCTTGTCCATCTACCTTTCTCTCCCCCCCTCCCCCCCTGGTCCATCTAACCCTTTCCTCCTTCCTCCCCCCCTTTCCATCTTCCCTCTTCCCCCCTCCCACCGTCCATCTCCCTTTCTCGTCGTTCCCCCCGTCCCCCTTCCATCTCACCGATTTCTCTCGTCTCAGAGCTCTCTCTCTCCCCCCCGCTTCCCTCTCCCGCTTTCCCTCCTCTCAGCCCCCCCCCCCTTTCCCATCTCCCTGCTCCTCTGTTCCTCTGCTCTCCCCCCCCCCCTCCAATCTTCCGCTTTGCTCTCTCTCTGCTCCACCGGCCAAGGGTTCCCTCTCCCCTTTCTCTCTCTCCCCCCCCCCCGCCATCGACCCGGTCTCTCTCCCCCCCTCCCCCGTCCATCTGACCCTGTCTCTCTCTCCCTCCCACCTGCCATCTACCCTGTCTCTTCCCCCCACCCCGTCCCATCTCACCCTATTCTCTTCTCAGCCCCCCTCCCCCGGCCATCTACCCTGTCTCTCCTCCCCCTCCCCCCTCCCCCTTCCCATCTACCCTGTCATCTCTCCCTCCCCCCTCCCCCTTCCCATCTACCTTGTCTCTCTCTCCCCCCCACCCTTTCCCTCTCCCTGTCTCTCTCCCCCCCCTCCCCCCACCCTTTCTCCTCTTAGCCCTGTCTCTCTCCCCCACCCTGTCCATGCTAACCTTTCCTCGTCTCTCCCCCTCCCCCGTCCGTCTACACCCTTTCTCTCTCTGTCCCCTCCCCCCCTCCATCTACCACCGTTCTCTCTCCTCTCTCTCTCCCCCGTCATCCTCCCACTGTCTCTCTCTTTCCCCCCCCCCCCCTTTCCATCTACCCTTTTTCTCTCTCACCCCCCTCCCCCCCCACCCCCCTGTCCATACCTCCACTTTCTCTTCCCCCACCCCCACCCGCTTTCCCATCTCCCTTTCTCTCTCCCCCCGCACCTCTCCGTCCATGGCGTGCCCGCTTTCTTCTCTTCCCTCTCTCTTCCCCTCTCCTCCCCCCCCTTGCACCCTCTACCCCTTTCTCCCCAAATAAAGGAGAGAGGCTCCCTTTGCTCCGCCCGCTCGTTCCATCCTTCCCTCTCACCGTCCCACCCTCCCCTCCGCTCTCACCCTTCTCTCTACTCCTTCTCCGCTCCTCCCCCGTTCCTCTCCCCTTTCTGGCTCTCTCCCTGCTGCCCCCCTTCCCTCTCCCCTTATCCTCTCTGCTGCCCACGCTGCTCCGACCCCACCGCGCCCTTCCCTCTTCCCTTTCTTCTCCAGTCCTCGCTCCGCCCTTTTCCAGGTCTACACCTTTCTCTCGCTCCCCCACCGCCCCTTTCCCTCTCCTCGCTTTCCTCTACTCATTCTCCTTCTCCGCCGCACCCCGGACGACGCTCTTTCCCTCTCTCCCTGGAATCCCCTCTTCTTTCCCGCGCACCCCCCCCACAGTTTCCTTCCCCTCCTCCCTTTCGGTCTCCTACCGAGGTTCTCAAGTCCCCCCCCTTCCCTCTACGCGCTTCTCTTCACCCCCTCCCTCCGTCCACTCTCCCCCCGTTTCCCCGCCGCCCCCTTCCCTCTACCCTCTTCTCGTCTCCCCGCCTCCCGCCTCCATCTCCCCCTTTCTCTCATCCTCCCCCCTTCCCATCTACTATACCCGTCTCTCCTCCCCCCCACCCTGTCCATCTACCACGCCTGTCCTCTTCTCTCTCCTCTCTCCCCCCACCCCGTCCATTACCCTGTCTTCGCTCTCCCTCTCCCCCCCCCCGTCCTCTTCCCTGTCTCTCTCTCTCTCGACCCCCGTCCATCTACCATGTCCCTCTCCTCTCCCCTCCCCCCGTCCATCGAACCCCCTTTCTCTCTCCCCGCGCTCCTCTCTCCCCCCCCCCCTCCATCGAACCCTGTCTCTCTCTCCCTCCCACCCTGTCCATTCGACCCTGTCTCTCTCCCCCCCACCCTGTCCCATTTACGCTTTTCTCTCTCCTCCCCCACCCTGTCCATCTACCCCTTTCTCTCCCTCCCCGCGTCCATCTAAACCTCTCTGCCCTCCCCTGTCCCATCTACCTCGTCCTCTCTCCCTCCCACCCCACCCTGTCCTTCTAACCTGTCTCTCTCCCCCCTTCTCCTCCCCCCCAACCCTGTCCAATTCTACCCTGTCCCCTCTCTCCCCCCCCCCCTCCCCCCTCTTGTCCATCTAAACCCTTTCTCTCCCCCCCTCCCCCTGTCCTCCCCCTTTACTAACCCTGTCTCTCTCCCCCCCGTCCATCTTCCCTCTCCCCCCCTCCCCTTTCCCATCCGACCCTGTCTCTCTCCCCCCTCCCCCCCCTCCATCGACCATTTCTCCTCTCTCCCGCATCCCTTCTCTCTCTCCCCCCTTCCATCTACCCTTTCTCTCTCCCCCCCACCCTGTCCATCTACCCTGTCTCTCTCCCCCCCCACCCCTCCATCTTCCCTGTCTCTCTCTCCCACCGTCCATCTACCATGTCTCTCTCTCCCCCCCCGTCCATCGGACCCTGTCTCTCTCCCCCCTCCCCCCGTCCATCGACCTGTCTCTCTCTCCCCTCCCACCCTGTCCATCTACCCTGTCTCTCTCCCCCCCACCCCGTCCATCTACCCTGTCTCCCCCCCCCCCCCCCCCCGTCCATCTACCCTGTCTCCCCCCCCTGTCCATCTTCCCTGTCTCTCTCTTCCCCTGTCCATATTCCCTGTCTCTCTCCCCCCTCCCCCGTCCATCTACCCTCTCTCTCTCCCCCGTCCATCTACCCTGTCTCTCTCTCCCCCCTCCCCCGTCCATCGACCCTGTCTCTCTCTCCCCCGTCCATCGACCCTGTCTCTCTCTCCCCCTCCCCGTCCATCGACCCTGTCTCTCTCCCCCCCCCACCCTGTCCATCTACCCTGTCTCTCTCTCCCCTCCCCCCTGTCCATCTACCCTGTCTCCCCCCTGTCCATCTACCCTGTCCCCCTCCCCCCCGTCCATCTACCCTCTGTTTCTCCCCCCCACTGTCCATCTACCCTGTCTCCCCCCCATCTACCTTCTCTCTCATCTACCCTCTCTCTCCATCCTTCTCCTCTCCTCTCTCAGGTGAAAGACTCTGACCTGGCTCTGTTGGCCAACATTCCTCTGGCTCTGCTTGACTCCTCTCTCTGCTGGTGGATATCCTTTGGTGTGCCTATAGCCCTGTTTGGGGCTCCTCTGTCCCCTGGGGGGCCCCTATCCCTGGTCCCTACACAGGGCTTCTCTGGTCCTCAGCCTGGGTCCTTGGGGAGGCCCCCTCTATCCCTGGTCCCTACCCAGGGCTTCACTGGTCCTCAGCCTGGGGCCTTGGGCTACTCTGTCCCCTGGGGGCCCCCTATCCCTGGTCCCTACCCTGGGCTACACTGTCCCTCCCTGGGCTTGAGGCTCCCCTTCTTGTATCAAAGAGTTCAATCCCAATCCAAAGGGTCTCTACATGAGGGCAAATAATCTATTCTTGCATGCTATACCACTAGCTAGCTAACTCACAGCTAGCTGACCTGAAAGTCTAATAGTAGATATCTAGTAGTGGCCCCTATCCCTACCTGGGGAATCATCTGTACACCTTGCATGTTGTTATCCCTGCTGATTTTGCTAGGTTCTTCCATGATTCAGTCTCATTCATTAGGTCTGTTAGTTACATACTGTGTAGCCCAGCCGTTGTTTCCTTGACTGCCTCCTAACATATTTGTGAGCCTGGCTCAAACCTTAAAGACACTGAAGCTGAGGAGAAACCCAGTGAAGCTGTCTCTCTACAGGCACTTCACTAACACACTCATCTTCGCCATTATCGGTGAGTACGTTGTTAAATTGATGTACAGCCAGGAATACTATTTTCATGTTTTTATCGTTCATGGGTGTCGGAAAGTATTCAGACCCCTTGACTTTTTCCACATTTTGTTATGTTACAGCCTTATTCTAGAATGGATAAAATAATTGTTTTCCCTCATCAATCTACACACAATACCCTATAATGACAAAGCAAAAACAGGTTATTAGACATTCTTGCAAATGTATAAAAAATAAAAAACGGAAATACCTAATTTACGTAAATATTCAGACCCTTTGCTATGAGACTCGAAATTGAGCTCAGGTGCATCCTGTTTCCATTGATCATCCTTGAGATGTTTCTTCAACTTGATTGGAGTCCACCTGTGGTCAATTCAATTGAATGGACATGATTTGGAAAGGCCACACCTGTCTATATAAGGTCCCACAGTTGACAGTGCACGTCAGAGCAAAAACCAAGCCATGAGGTCGAAGGAATTGTCCGTAGAGCTCCGAGACAGGATTGTGTCTAGGCACAGATCTGGGGAAGGGTACCTCCATCATTCTTAAATGGAAGAAGTTTGGAACCACCAAGACTCTTCCTAGAGCTGGCCGCCTGGCCAAACTGAGCAATCTGGGGAGAAGGGCCCTGATGGTCACTCTGACAGAGCTCCAGAGTTCCTCTGTGGAGATGGGAGAACCTTCCAGAAGGACAACCATCTCTGCAGCACTCCACCAATCAGGCCTTTATGGTAGAGTGGCCAGACAGAAGCCACTCCTCAGTAAAAGGCACATGACAGCCTGCTTGGAGTTTGCCAAAAGGCACCTAAAGGACTCAGACCATGAGAAACAAGATTCTCTGGTCTGATGAAACCAAGATCGAACTCTTTGAATGCCAAGAGTCACGTCTGTATGAAACCTGGCACCATCCCTACGGTGAAGCATGGTGGTGGCAGCATCATGCTGTGGGGATGTTTTTCAGCGGCAGGGACTGGGAGACTAGTCAGGATCAAGGGAAAGATGAATGGAGCAAAGTACAGAGCTCCTTGATGAAAACCTGCTCCAGAGCACTCAAGACCTCAGACTTGGGTGAAGGTTCACCTTCCAATAGCTCAACGACCCTAAGCACACAGCCAAGACAACACAGGAGTGGCTTTGGGACAAGTCTCTGAATGTCCTTGCGTGGCCCAGCCAGAGTCCGGACTTAAACCCGATCAAACATCTCTGGAGAGACCTGAAAACAGCTGTGGAGCGACTCTCCCCATCCAACCTGACAGAGTTTGAGAGGATCTGCAGAGAAGAATGGGAGAAACTGCCCAAATACAGGTGTGCCAAGCTTGTAGCGTCATACCCAAGAAGTCTCAAGGCTGTAATCGCTGCCAAAGGTGCTTCAACAAAGTACTGCGTGAAGGGTCTGAATACTTATGTAAATGTGATATTTCAGTTTTTAATTTGTAATAAATTAGCACCAAAAAATCAACTGTTTTTGCTTTGTCATTATGGGGTATTGTGTGTAGATTGATGAGGCTGTAATGTAACAAAATATGCAAAAAGTCAAGGGGTCTGATTTCTTTCCGAATGCACTGTATAAGGCATTATGAACAAAGTTATGAATTGTTATACGTATGTAGCCTAGTTCATAGAAAGTGTTGACAAACTATTCTAAATTAAAGTTTCACAATTTAATGGAAATGGTCTGATGCAGTTTTGGTTGTATTTTTTCCCACCTTCAGCTTCAATCGTTTTCATGGTGTGGACGACAAAAAAATTCAGACTAGCCGACTGTCAATCTGTGAGTATGTCTTCTAGAAATGGTCCAGTTGTGTGTGATCCAGGTTCTTTGGATCAAGGTTTGAGTGCTCTGTGCATTTCTTAAAGGTTCCGCACAGTTATGAACAAAACATCACCCATAATACTTTTTACACTATTAAAATGCTCAGAATTGAAGCCCCAATGACACAAGCTACTCAAGCTGTAGCTACATCAACACTAGCTACACCAACTGTAGCCACATCAACACTAGCTACACCAACTGTAGCTACATCAACACTAGCTACACCAACTGTAGCCACATCAACACTAGCTATATCAACTGTAGCTACATCAACACTAGCTACACCAACTGTAGCTACATCAACACTAGCTACACCAACTGTAGCTACATCAACACTAGCTACACCAACTGTAGCTAAGTCACACAACAGATGAAATGTTACCAGTATCATTGGTCGTAAGTTCTACTTGAGGTTTACATTTGACATTTTAGTCATTTAGCAGATGATCTTATCCAGAGCCACTTAGAGTAGTGAGTGCATACATTTTCATACTTTTCCCCCCGTACTGGTCCCCCGTGGGAATCGAACCCACAACCCACATGGGACCGGTTTGTAAACAAAGCAAGGTGTAGGCGCACGTCATGACGGTTTTAAGGCGGAACATATTTAAATTAGTAAAGATAAGATGCTACCATTGGTGTATTACATTTCCTGCTTTATGTGGCGTTGCATAAAGACGGAACTTCTTTGAACTGGTACTGGTTTCATCCAAATATCATCCAATTTGATGAAAAACAAGATTTTCACTGTTCGGGACTTTTAAGACATTGAATCAACAGTATTGAGTCCTCATGGCTAATGTATTGTAAATAATGCCAACTCAAGACAGCCATATTGGGTCATGAATTGAACAGTATCATGGCTGACATATTGTTTGTATAATTCTATATAACAGGACTGGGTGGAGCTGTGGGTAGATGATGCCTTCTGGAGGTTCCTGTTCTCTATCATACTGCTGGTTATCATGTTCTTATGGAGACCCTCTGCTAACAACCAGAGGTGAGGTTCAAGGGGTGTGGGTGTGTGTGCGGGAGGTTATATACAGGGGGTACCGGTACAGAGTCAATGTGAAATAACAGTAGGGAGGCTATATACAGGGGGTACCGGTACAGAGTCAATGTGCAGGGGCACAGGTTAGTCGAGGTAATTGAGGTAATATGTACATGTTGGTAGAGTTAAAGTGACTATGCATAGATAATAAACAGAGTAGCAGCAACGTACAAGTTGGGGTCAAAATGCAAATAGTCCGGGTAGCCATTTGATTAGCTGTTCAGGAATCATATGGCTTGGGGGTAGAAGCTGATAAGAAGCCTTTTGGACCTAGACTTGGTGCTCCGGTACCGCTTGCCGTGCGGTAGTAGAGAGAACAGTCTATGGCTAGGGTGGCTGGAGTCAATTTTGAGGCCCTTTCTCTGACACCGCCTGGTATAGAGGTCCTGGATGGCAGGAAGCTTGGACCCAGTGACGTACTGGGCCGTACGCACTACCCTCTGTAGTGCCTTGCGGTCGCAGGCCGAGCAGTTGCCATATCAGGCAGTGATGCAACCAGTCAGGATGCTGTCGATGGTGCAGCTGTATACGTTTTTGAGGATCTGAGGACCCATGCCAAATCTTTTCAGTCTCCTGTGGGTGAATAGGCTTTGTCGTACCCTCTTCACGACTGTCTTGGTGTTTGGACCATGTTAGTTTGTTGGTGATGTGGACACCAAGGTACTTGAAGCTCTCAACCTGCTCGACTACAGCCCCATCAATGAGAATGGGGGCGTGCTCGGTCCTCTTTTTCCTGTAGTACACAACCACCAACAGTCAGTCAGGGAGACTCACCTTTCCACTCTTCAAAGCTTCACAGAGGAAACAAACTTAAACAGCCTTTCTCTAAATGTTCTGGAGCTTTCTAACAATTTAAGACTTTATAACTGTTCATAATGTTTCCTTTGTTCTCCTCAGATATGCGTTCACTCCTCTGATGGATGACTCTGACGATGAGGAGATTGAGGAGTTCCTGGTGTCAGCTAATTTAGGTACTGTACAAGTAGTCTGTTTTTATGTTTATCCTCTTTAGTGGTCATGTGTCTGAACGTTGGTGCTCATTCTCTCTGTGTTTCATCACAGCTGATGGCATAAAGCTGAGAGCCACCAACTCCAAGAGTGAAATGAACGGCTCAGCCAAGCCTTCAGGATCCAACCCGGTTAGTGTCAAACCTTCAATTCAATTAATACAACTTGATTTATTCCCTTAGGGGAAATTAAGAAAGGCAGAGTCAGTTTCCAATTATACAATCAATATGAACACGACACAGAAATGCAGCATACCAACAAGCCAACCTTTTCTGTCAGTCGATAAAGTTCCACTTTCAGTTAACTACACATGACACTCAAATGTTTACTGTGACTTGACATATTAACCTGTGATCCAATTCAACCCCCCAGCAGAACAAATTAACATCTACTGTATATACTGAACACAAATATAAACGCAACATGTAAAGTGTTGGTCCCATGTTTCATGAGCTGAAATAAAAGATCCCAGAAATGTTCCATACACACAAAAAGCTTATTTATCTCAAATGTTGTGCAAAAATTTGTTTGCATCCCTGTTAGTGAGCATTTTTCCTTTGTCAAGAGAAACAATCGACCTGACGGGTGTGGCATATCAAGAAGCTGATAAAACAACATGATCATTACACAGGTGTACCTTGTGCTGGGGACATTAAAAGGCCACTCTAAAATGTGTAGTTTTGTCACAACACAATGCCACAGATGTCTCAAGTTTTGAGGAAGTGTGCAATTGGCATGCTGACTGCAGGAAGGTCCACCAGAGCTGTTGCTAGACAATTTAATGTTAATTTCTCTACCATAAGCCGCCTCCGTCGTTTTAGAGAATTTGGCACTACGTCCGACTGGCCTCACAACCGCAGACCACGTGTAACCACTCCAGCCCAGGATCTCCACATCCAGCTTCTTCACCTGCGGGATCGTCTGAGACCAGCTACCCGGACAGCTAATGAAACTGAGGAGTATTTCTGTCTGTAATAAAGCCCTTTTGTGGGGAAAAACTCATTCTGATTGGCTGGGCCTGCGTCCCCAGTGGGTGTAACTGGCTCCCTAATGGGTGGGCCTATGCCCTCCCAGGCCCACCCATGGCTGCACCTCTGCCCAGTCATGTGAAATCCATAGATTAGGGCCTAATTAATTTATTTCAATTGACTGATTTCCTTATATGAACTGTAACTCAGTAAAATCGTTGAAATTGTTGCGTTTTATGTTTTTGTTCAGTATTTGTAGTATAGTGAATGACATGACTGAGTTCTAACAACAGGGGACAGCGTTGAGTAGTTCTCTTCTCTTTCCCACCTGTCCAGGATGAAGACTTGAAGTGGGTGGAAGAGAACATTCCTACCTCTCTAACAGACGTGTAAGCATCATTTATCGAGAAATACTTTTATCAACACCAAAATAGCAGGTGTGTTTATAGCAGCGTTTCCCAAACTCGGCCTGGGGCCCCCCCGGGTGCATGTTTTGGTTTTTGCCCTAGCACTACACAGCTGATTCAAATAACCAACTCATCATCAAGCTTTGATTATTTGAATCAGCTGTGTAGTGGTAGGGCAAAAACCAAAACGTGCACCCCTTGGGGTTGCAAGGACAGAGTTTGGGAAACCCTGGTTTAAAGTGGTCACCATTATTAGGTGGTGGTTGTATAAAAACACATGTTTTGTCCTCCTTTTCCTCCTCCATTGTAGAGCGTTGCCTGTCCTTCTCGACTCAGATGAGGTATGTTTATTTTTTAACACAATGGGTCATTTCTGTCAATGGCAAAATATCAGAGACGGGTTAAAGAAGGATTTTTAAGCCTTGAGACAATTGAGACATGGATTGTGTATGTGTGCCATTCAGAGGGTGAATGGGCAAGACAAAACATTTGTGCGTTTGAACAGGTTATGGTAGTAGGTGCCAGGCGCACCGGGTTGTGTCAAGAACTGCAATGCTGCTGGGTTTTTCACACTCAACAGTTTCCCGTGTGTTTCAAGAATGGTCCACCACCCAAAGGACATCCAGACAACTGTGGGAAGCATTGGAGTCAACATGGGCCAGCATTCCTGTGGAACGCTTGAGACACCTTGTAGAGTCCATGCCCCGACGAATTGAGGCTGTTCTGAGGGCAAAAGGGAAGGTGGTGCAACTCAATATTAGGAAGGCATTCCTAATGTTTTGTACACTCAGTGTATATGGTTTACTTTACTGTGCATATCATATAATGTTATAAAATTCTCAGATGGCAATATTAAATGTACAGCCACTATGATATTAGAGAAAAATATATAATATATTCTCTGTATTCCTTAACCAGGAAATCATGACTACAAAATATGAAATGTCCAAGATGGAGTAACATGGGAGATCTTCCTACTACCCACGGTGGATACAGAGCTTTTCTTCCTCCTGAGATTGGTTCCTCCAGCATGGCATGGAAGAGACAGATCGCCTGGAGCGCAACACCTCTCCCATCCTACTCCTAGACCTGGTTAGGCTGAGAGTCAGACCTCTGTATGTCTACAACATTACTGGGGCTTAACACCTCTGACATGGCGATCAGCAGGGTCCTATTCATTGGGTATCAAACGGAAGAAAATGGATTCAAACAGGGAGGTACTACCTGAACTTGTCCAATAAGAAATGCTGGTTATAGTTTTCTGTTGCAAAACGTTTTTTGCTTCGTTGTGCCGTAATGTATTTAACCCTCTGTCTCTCACCCTCTCCACAAACCAAGACCTAACAATTGTGTGTGTCCCAAAGGGCACCCTTTTCCCTATTCAGTGCTGTATAGTGCACTACACTTGACAATAGGGCTCTGGTCAAAGTAGTGAACTATGGTCCCGTGTGGCTGTTGGTAGAGCATGGCGATTGCAACGCAAGGGTTGTGGGTTTGATTCCCACGGGGGACCAGTATGAAAAAGTATGAAGATGTATGCACTGGATAAGAGCATCTGCTAAATGACTAAAATGTATATAGGCAATAGGGTGCTATTTGGGACACAGCCTTTGTGATGGAAAGAGACTTCAGTTCCAAAAAGAGAACTTCACTTTGTTAGACTGTATTCAGATTTAAGTGTTTACCCACTAAACTTCACTTTATACTGTATCTTGGAGGGAGGAAGAAGCTGGTATATTATTTAAACACCAATTGGATACACTACTTAATATGACATGACCAACGTGTTATTTTGATGGATGATGACATGACCAACGTGTTATTTTGATGGATGATGACATGACCAACGTGTTATTTTGATGGATGATGACATGACCAACGTGTTATTTTGATGGATGATGATATGACCAACATGTTATTTTGATGGATGATGACATGCATCGTGTGTGTGTGTGTGTCTTCTAGGCTGGGACACAGGATTCATACGTTTAGTGTGAGTTACACAGTACTAAACAGAAGTGTTGATGTAAGTGGAGGATTGTAGGGCTGGGGTCTGTTCTGTAGGATTGCAGGGCTGGGGTCTGTTCTGGAGGATTGCAGGGCTGGGGTCTGTTCTGGAGGATTGCAGGGCTGGGGTCTGTTCTGGAGGATTGCAGGGCTGGGGTCTGTTCTGGAGGATTGCAGGGCTGGGGTCTGTTCTGGAGGATTGTAGGGCTGGGGTCTGTTCTGGAGGATTGCAGGGCTGGGGTCTGTTCTGGAGGATTGCAGGGCTGGGGTCTGTTCTGGAGGATTGCAGGGCTGGGGTCTGTTCTGGAGGATTGCAGGGCTGGGGTCTGTTCTGGAGGATTGCAGGGCTGGGGTCTGTTCTGGAGGATTGCAGGGCTGGGGTCTGTTCTGGAGGATTGCAGGGCTGGGGTCTGTTCTGGAGGATTGCAGGGCTGGGGTCTGTTCTGGAGGATTGCAGGGCTGGGGTCTGTTCTGGAGGATTGCAGGGCTGGGGTCTGTTCTGGAGGATTGTAGGGCTGGGGTCTGTTCTGGAGGATTGTAGGGCTGGGGTCTGTTCTGGAGGATTGCAGGGCTGGGGTCTGTTCTGGAGGATTGTAGGGCTGGGGTCTGTTCTGGAGGATTGCAGGGCTGGGGTCTGTTCAGGAGGATTGCAGGGCTGGGGTCTGTTCTGGAGGATTGCAGGGCTGTGGTCTGTTCAGGAGGATTGCAGGGCTGGGGTCTGTTCAGGGGGATTGAACGTTACAGAATGTTCAGATATGATTGTCTGTCAGAAATAGAATGACTAGAGCTGACACAATTCCCTATTCTATCTACTATCAATGTTCAGAAAGTTTCACATCACTGATGCACCCCTGAGGTTGGTTGGTAGAGGCAGAACTGTAGTTGAGGCCCATGTTATTGAGGAGTTATAATAATTTATTTAACTTCGATAGTGCTTTTCATTACAGACAGAATCTCAAAGCGCTTGTTAAGCAAAATAACCAACAAGCATTTATTTAACGAGATATAGGCTACAACAGCAGATAAATCAAGTCTGTTTGAGTGCTTCCTAAAACCTCCAGATGGACAGCCGCTGTCATGAGAGGATCTGGAAGCTCATACCTAGATGGTCAGCGGAGGTGGTGGTCTGACCAGCATGTCCAATGGCAGGCAGGTACGCAGGCAGCTCCATGTTATCTGGGCGTCTCCGCCGTCTGCAGATTATCTGTATTGGGACTCTGTGATGAAGATTGAGATCCCCACAGAGTACAGTCCTTACTTCAGAAGTATCCTCCTGAGTAATGAAAAGCTGTCCCACTGCCTCTTGGATCACCGTTGGTGAAAAGCAACCCCAAGTCAGTAGCTAGGTGTAATTCAAATGAAAACACACCGGCTAGCTAGCATGACCTAGCTTGTTGACGATGCTGATTTTCATACGTTTACCAGTGGTGGAAAAAGTACCCAATTGTCATACTTGAGTAAAAGTAAAGATACCTTAATAGAAATGACTCAAGTGAAAGTCACCCAGTAAAATACTACTTGAGTAAAAGTATTTAGTTTTAAACATACTTAAGTATCAAAAGTAAATGTAATTGCTAAAATATACGTAAGTATCAAAAGTAAAAGTATAAATCATTTCAAATTCCTTATATTAAGCAAACCAGATGGTACCATTTTCTTGTTTTATAAATTCACAGATAGCCAGGGGCACACTCCAACACTTAGACATAATTTACAAATGAAGCATTTGTGTTTAGTGAGTCAGTCAGA